GCCCTGAGGTAGGATTATTGGTTTCTTTTAGTCACAATAAGCCTCTGAGAGGTCAGTCCTGGCTTTTAGGCTTTTTTGATTGATTTGCAAACAGTGTGGGAAGGTCACTGGTTTTGGCAGTAATCCGAGATTCACATTGTGTCTGATGGGACACTGAATTCCCTTTCATATAATGAAAGTGGCAATACTGCTGAAAGGGGTTCCAGTTAAATCTGAGGTATGTGATAAAGAGGCAGTTTAAGGTACCTGTGAGTGAACTGTAGAGAAATTTTTCTCCATTGTTTTGTTTAATATCTACTTTATACTGTAAGATCATTCCTTACTATCTTTCTCCATACCTTAAATACATTCATAGTGCTTACTGGGATCAATATTGTTCTAGTTCTCTATCAAATGTCTTTGATATCATCGTTTATTTAATAATAACTAGCATCCATAGCAAAATACCCAAGGCAGTGCAAGATCCTTTATCACTTTCTACATAATGTATTTCTAAAAGAAATAATATATTTTAGTAGGATTTTAGGAAACACTTTTGGTGTAAACCCTAGCTAACCAGACAGCAGTTACTAATTATAGCAGAAAATGTATCTGTTTTGCTTAGCATTACATTTTCAGTAGAGCATAGGACCTGACTCTATATATATATGTATATATATTCTACAAACATTTGTTAAGTGTCCGCTATGTGTGTGTGTGTGTGTGTGTCTGTGTGTCTGTGACACTGCATATGCATATATATATACACACACACATATATACACACATATATACACATACACACATATACATATATACACACATATATACACATACACACATATACACACATATATGTGTATATATACATATGTACACACATATATGTGTGTATATGTATATATGTGTGTATATATGTGTGTGTGTATGTGTCACAGACACACACACATATGCATATATATATATACACACATACACATACACACACATATAGATACACACACATATACACATGTGTATATGTGTGTGTATCTATATGTGTGTGTATGTGTATGTGTGTATATATATATGCATATGCAGTGTCACAGACACACACACACACACACACACACACATAGTGGACACTTAACAAATGTTTGTAGAATGAATACATATCCAGAGAAGGTCACCTGAGTGAAGTTTTACTATTAATATATGCTTCTTTTAAGATATATCCCATGCATAAAATGATACATTGCTTTAGGATCAAACAAACTATCAAAAAAACTTCACTAGAAACAGCATTATTGACTTTTAGAGAGAGCAAGGGTTTTCAAGATTATCTCAGCTTGAGCATCATTATTTAAAGTGAGAAGAATAATCATAGGTGGTAAGTTATTCCATTTACTTTTTAAAAATAAACAACTAAAGATTTCTTATCCATCACACAGAGAGTGAAGACACTACTTTTTATTTTATTGGAACCATCATAATTTGGGGGATATAAGTTAACTGACCAAAGAAAAAGATAGACGAGTGCAGACCATCCAACTACCCATTGTGATAATTCTGTTCCAGGGGATCAGAGTTGGGTGTTCATGGGAATAGGGTTTCACTAACAGGAGCACTCAAATCTAGCTGCTGGACCCTTGGGTTTTTATCACGGTGGAGTAAAATGTGTGAGCACCCTCTAGCCTTAAGTGTCATTTTGTTCAAATACTTTGGATGCCAGAAAGATAGTTAAGACAAGATTTGTTGTTGCTTTTTTGCTATTAAGTTAAACATGTGAATCAAATTCTGATACTTCAATGTTCAAGTGACAAGGTTATTAGGTAGAATCCCTAGGGATTCTTTGCAAGTAACAGAGTTCAGAATTTAAAATAAATAGATACATGTAAAAATAACATATAAAAAGTCTCCCAATATAAATCTCTTATTTTGATATTAAACAGTTGATTTCAGCTATACTAAGCTACTGCAAGCTGTTCTACAAAATAATTGATAGATTGTTACAGAAAGAAAATTAGGTGAAAGAAATAAAGCTAGAGTCCACAATGATATTTATAATATCTTTCAGTCAAACTCAAACTCATAGCAATTTATGTAAAAATATTCTATCAAAAATTTATAACAAAAATTCAGCAAACACTTAAAAATACTTCTAGTTTTAGGTTTCTTTTCGAAGTTTGTTTCTGCAGATGAATGGACCGAATTGCTAATTGGATTTAGAGAGCCAAAATTCCAATTTGTTTGATTGGAGTTGATACAAAGTAAATCTAACTGTGTGGTTTCAATATGTTTTTACTCTCTTAAATGACTCAGTGGGTGATAGTTACATACATTCTCCCATTTTTTCTTATAGTGTACATTAAAACATATTTTCAAATACTTGATCTTAAACTCATATTTTGAAATGCTTGAATGAGTATATGGCTAGCTACTACCTTAAATAGCAATACATTTATAAGAACTAATTAGTTCATGTCATAAAAATAATTTGGAAAACATGTATAGAAGATGAAATGCTTCTATAACCACAGTTGTCCATGAACAGATTTTGAGAGACTATTGTCTAAACTACTTCTATTATGTTTTTATAAATTTGTACAAATTAAAATGTCAATGAAATAATTGTAGATGGCATTCTACCACAATATGAAGTGTGCCCATCCTTCTAGAAATTTACTAATATGAAATGTGAGCATCCTTTTAGAACTTTATCATCATTGTATTAACCTCACCATCTTCAGAGAAAAGGCCACCTTTTCAAAGGGATTTTTTCCTAATTAATATTTTATTTAACATTTAACTTTTTGCCTTCTAAAAATGCTTTGATTGGTCCTTTGAAATTGTTTTCTCTTGCTATCTTAATTTATGAAAGAGGATGTTGAAACACAGGGGTATTAAGGTACATGTACAAATTCCTGACAAAGTGTGGATTGGCTCTTATGGATGAGCCAAGAGTAAAACTAAGAAAACATTAAAAGTTGTTTTATTTAGAGCCACAAGAAATTACAATACAGATAGTAAACAACAACAGCATGTTCAGAATCAAAACACATCTTTTCTCGGGGGGAAATTTTATAGCGCAATTAGGAGTACATTATTTTCTCACAATGCTGTAGACTTTACTACAATTTATGAGATTTATACCTGAGAGGCATTTTAAATGGAAAAAGTTCTCTTACTATTATCATTATTACCATGCAACCACAATAGAAAAGAAATCTTTTAGAATTCAGCAAGAAGAATAGAAAAGTAGACACTCAAGTTTTCTAATTTCTTTAAAATGACAATTAAAAAAAAAGTCCACTTCCTTTAGCAAGAGCTCATTTACCGCTTATTCAAAGAGTTTATCCAAAGCACCCAGGTGTGCCGATTTTCTTCTTAGAAACCAGCTAAGCCTCTGAAATGGGTCAGTGTGCTTTAGGCACTCAATTGCCTCCTCCAGACTTAGTCTTTTAAGCACAGGTGCTAAGTGGAGGGTCTTTCTGAGCCTTACTCACCCTCTGACAGGAACTTGGCAATCCAGGCAGTTCTTAGAATTGGCTGCTCTGTGGGATTCGGCGTGAGTTATTTACAAAGCTTCAGTTGTTCAGGTCAAACAACTCAAACTCTCAATATAGGGGTGGGAATGGGAGGGAGGGCAATGGGAGCCAGAGGTAAAGTCGCTGTATTGCTTAAGAAAGAAGAAAAATTCTTCTTGGATTCTGTAAATAACCATTTAAAAATTTCATATACATTGAATAGCTACAACTTCAATAATTTTTTGGACTCTCTCAGAAATAAGCCTGAGTGATGTATAGGCTTTTAATTAATATTTCCCAGAATAACATATGCATATTTCAAGTATTTTTTTTTAAGCTTCTCTCGTCTACAAAGGGATGACAGGAAGTAAATACTCTGTTATTTCCTCTTATATTAAAGTCTGGCTTCTTTAGACTTTAACAATACAACATGTGTCTTTTTAAAAAATTTTTCACTTTTACAAATGCTAATATAGTTGAAGAATGAAACTGAAGACATCTAGTCCCGTGCCTGTAAATATTAAGGCAGAATCTCTGAAATACATTTTAGTTTTTATTTTTATAATTGAATATTAAAGTGATTCCTATAAATAAACCTCCAAATTGGCAAGTTAACTATTAGAAATTAAATAATATAATTATGCAGTTAAACTATATGTAACAAACTAACCAACAAAAAATTGTATTACCCATGTCTGGCTGAACTAACATATTATAGGCAAATACGAGCAAGCATTTCTAAAACCACTAGATGGCATTCATTCACTGCAATTTTGGTCAAAGAGCCTTTAAAGCTTTATCATGATCTGCAGGGTTGGGGAAAGGCAAATGTTAGCCATTATTTGATGATATTTTCCTATCATTTAATACAACAACAAAACTCAGTTTTATCTTTTCTTGGTTGCTTTAAATCAAATCAACAAATATTTATTGAAATCTTTATTCAAGGATTTTTCTGTTATGAGGAGAGTTGAATGAAAACCATCTCCATTGAGGTAGTAATGTATTTACTTATAATACCTAGCAGAAAACATATACAGAATACTGCTATACACAGTATTCAACTGACTTTCTTGTACTTTATTTCTTTAGTAATTTATGTTGCTATTTCTCATGTAGCACTTCTCTAAAGTAAGTGTGCCTCTAAAAACAAAGGCACACTCACAAATTTAGAATGTTTGTAACAGTTTTAGATGGCAAAAATCTTCAACATTAATATTTTTGAAAACCGGAGGCCAAGAGCTCTTAATGATTCACATAGGGTCCTTTACTTTTTCAAGTCTTAAGAATATATGAGAAATAGCTTTCTAAATACATTGAGACTTAAGAACCAAAAAGGTCTTTGGTGATGAAACATTGTGATTTGGTATTGAAGATAAATCACGGAATGAAAACTCTCAAACCTCACACTCCAAACCAAAAAGTTGGGAGCAGATGTTGATGGGAACAAGTCAATCAAAGGTTAATTTCTTTTTGCATAGGGTCTAGGTTAAAAATATAAAATCTAGAGCTTACCTGTTCTAATATGTTTTGAAGTCTTTCTATCTCACAGTCTATTACAAACTTCTTCTCTTGTCTTCTGTCAAGTTCTTCCAGAAGTTGCCTATAGCTGACATCATTAAAATTTTCCACACATATAGCGCTGACATGCCAACCATTTTGTCCTGCTTTTTCCATAATAGCTTGGAGTATCGAGTATCCTATTGGGGGAAAAAAAGTTACTAAAAACATGCTCTTACTCCCATATAATGACTTATACAGGCACTGAGCCTGTATCAACACTGCTGTGTTCCAAAATATACTGAATGCTTAGAAACTTAAAGTTTGCGTGGTTATTTCTGAATAATTTGTACTCAGGAGAACAAAATCTCTGAAAATAGAGATTGAATGAAGTAGCAATACCGTAACTTGTGTAAGCTCTCAAAATCTCTTTACTGGAGAACATTGCATTGCTCCAGACACATTTTTGATGAGACAAACTTCAAACCAAATCTATCACCACCTGTAGTCAATAGCAATTTCATAAACCCTTTTTGCTATTTTACTCACTAGATGGAGCTCATTTTGAACAACTGTTTGACTTTCTCCTTGAGCAAGGTAGCACAACATTTTTGGTTCAACTATGGAAGAGAAGACGTAAAAGAAACAGTACAACAGTATTTATTGAGGACCCATTATTCTAGGTGCCTTATTTGGTGATGAGGACAGGTGCATATTGTAGAGGTATTATTTAACTCTTCCTCTCTCAGCTGGGGAATGATATAGATTGGAGATTAGTTGAATGACCACTAGGTGAGGCACTGGTGCTCCTAATCCAGTATAAGAGAATGATATCCAAATAAAAACCAGAAATTTAGTTTTAAAAAGTGTGTAGCAGGACTCAAGGTAAAGTGTTGGCCCAAGGGAAAGCTTAGTTCCAGTTGTCTGAATGGAACAAGTTAAAATTCCACAAAGGAGAAAAAACTTGTATTGGGTCTTGAAGGCTGAGAAGGAGCATGCAAGACTGCTGAAGGTGGGGGCGTTTACTACATGAAGACAACCTTCCATGAGAAAATAAAATGAATGGTTTCCACCTGTTCTTGATCTTGATCTCTCTGCATGTGGAAGGGAAGGCATCTGGTCCAAGCACCTGGGTTAAGGCAGGAGCTCTGAACTCATAATTCCTGCATTTGGAGTATATCTTCAGGCCAACATTGTCTTGATTTTCCTGCTTTTTTTTTCCATTGTCATTATTTTTATTTTATTTTTTGAGATGGAGTCTTGCTCTGTCACCCAGGCTGGAGTGTAGTGGCACGATCTCGGCTCACTACAACCTCCGCCTCCTGGGTTCAAGTGATTCTTCTGCCTCAGCCTCCCAAGTAGCTGGGACTACAGGCGCAAGCCACCATTCCCAGCTACTTTTTGTATTTTTAGTAGAGATGGGGTTTCACCATGTTGGCCAGGCTGATCTTGAACTTCTGACCTTGTGATCCGCCAGCATTGGCTTCCCAAAGTGCTGGGATTACAGGCGTGAGCCACCTGTAGATGAGGCACCTGGCCCCATCTCTCATTTGTGAATTGTAATGTGAGAGAAGAAACAAAAAGATTATTTGAATTAATAAATATTCCATACACTAAGATTGGTTAGAGCTGGTTAGTCGGTTATATTTTCACTTTACGGTTTAGCATAAACAAAATATTCTAGTCCTCTTTAAGAAACTCTAACAGTTATTTGAGCTAATTCTATAGCAACTGTCTGTAGTTTCCTCTTCCTGTGATCCTGGAATTGGGGCAGGGAGCTGGGTGGATTAAAACTGAAGATTTAAAACAAATATAAAGCACTTGCAAGATAAGGGAATATTTTTTCAGTTTTCTAATTGGTATGTGAGTCTCACAGATTCAGGAATTTTAAATTTTTTTCAGGTATGTTTTCTACACATAAGAGTTCCAAGCATTACTGATGCTCAGTTCATATCAACAGATGGAACTGATGATGAGATCATATTTGAAATATAAATTACCTGATATCCTGCCAAATGAAATACTGTGGCAGTCAGGATTCATTTTTAGCTAAACGAAAAAAAATTCCCCGAAGAGGAAGAAAGAGGGCATGTTAATTATTATTCTGGTATATCTATTGCCCCATTTAGTCTTTCCTTTTGTAATGGTGCCAGTAATTATCTTTTCAAATCTTTTAGATCCCCCGCCCCAAAACCCTGGCACTCTTTCTCTTGTTTCCTATTCAATGTATACATAATGTGATGATATGAAACCTTCCTTAATATATATGTCCATGCCTCATTTATTCTGTCGCTGGGGCTTGTGCTCTGGTAGTAACTGAGGCAATGTTCTTTTAATTCATTTTTGACACCTATGAACATGTTCTTTGACTTAAAATGAATGCTTTTAAAAATACTAATTAACGTATTACTTTTCTTTTTTCTCCTTTTATTTACCATCATACCGGAATAATGCCAAGATTTTTTGTTTGCTTGAGTGTTGTAAAAATAATAAAAATGGCCCCCACACATAGCAATAGTCTTCTCCCTGGGCTCAATTCACAGCTTGGCACCGTTCTTTAAATATTGCTGCATTTTTGGCTTCATGTGGCTGTCAGGCTTCTTGTCAGGAGTAGGCATCCATGTTGTTTTTCTCCTGCTGACATGACTTTTACAGAATGTGAAGCCACATACCTTCTGATGAAATTTAAATATATATTTCCACTTACCTTACAAAATTGAAGTAGTCACTCTAAAAACAAAATTATAGTTCAAATCCAGCCTTTCATTATCTGATTTTTTTTAGATTTACAAATGACACTAGAATTGGAATCAAACAGAACCCTAGGACACAATCTTTGTTGAATGGCAAAGAAAGTTGGTTACTTAAAAAGCCCCATTAATCATAGTCAGAAATAAGTGGTATCCTTTCATTGCAGTTCAAAGGACATGGAGTAATAGTGTCAGAGCCTGGCTAAAATCATATTCTTTTATAAGTTGTGTTTGATTCTAATATGCTCTTTTATTATCCACTGCTATTCAGATATGAGTGTCTTATTTATTTACCAACATAGCTGGAAATATATTGCAAGTAGGAGAAAATACTGCTGTTGAATCTATGATTATATAACTTATTGTTATATAAACTAGAAAATCATAAGTCAAGTCATACTATTTCCACAGTTGGCTATGATTTGTATCTCCTAGTTATTAGAAAATCTGTAGTACGATATTGTTGGTCAAAAATGAATACTGCAGTTTTAGGTGAATAATCATGTAGTTAACAGGAAATTCACGACTGTAAAAAATATTTTAAATCTTCTACTCTAAAAAGCTGTCCAACATTTTAATTCAATATAATTTATTGAAAAGCTACTACATCCAGAATTCTTTAAAGTATATCAAGATAAAGATGTGGGAACTGGACAACATTATGTGAAGTGAAATAAGCCAGGCAGAGAAAGACAGGCTTTACATGTTCTCACTCATTTGTAGTAGCTAAAAGCTAAAATAATTGAACTTATGGAGATAATAGAATGATGGTTACCAGATGCTGGGAAGGTTAGCAAGGGAGGAGGGAAATGGAGACGGAAATGTGGATTCACTTTTAATCCACCTGGCTCTCTACCCCAAGATATAGTTAGATCAGATAAATAAGATGTAGTATTTGATAGCACAACAGGATGATTAAAGTCAACAACAATTTATTATACATTTTAAAATAACTTTAAGAGTATAATTAGAATGTTTATAACACAAAGAAAGAATAAATTCTTGAGGTGATGGATACTCATTTATTCTGATATGATCATTATGCATTGTATGCCTGTATCAAAATATTCCATGCACCCCATAAACGTAAACAGCTACTATGTACCTACAAGAACATTTTTAAAAAGATAGGTAATATGAAATACAAAGGTGAGGAAGATGTGATTCTTGTCTTTACAAGGAATTTACTATCTAGCAAAACTGATAGGTAAACTATCCATTATGCAAAATACACAGTATTGTATAAACACATTCCAAGTAGTAGTAGAGCATATCATTGATATAATCATTTTATTAGATTATGATAGTAATTAAGGGCTTTTTCATAGTTGCTAAAGAACACTGTCAATTACATATAAAATATTGTGTTATAATATCACATAAAGGTTTTATCAATTATGTTAAATAGAATCAAATAAGGTAAGCAGTCCTGAGCCACTGTCCCCTCATGCATCAACACTTTTTACATCATCTGTAGATAATGACCTATTTTGGATGAATACCAGTTCAGAGATATTGCTTCTTACAACAATATCTGGGCTTATTTATTTGGTATTTTCTTTTGCAAGAGTTATTTAACTGTTGACACATGGAGCAATAGAAAGAAGCAGAATAAATTTGTGCCAGGGAAGAAATTATTTAGAAAAGAAGGAGTTATCCTTCTTTTGATCTGAAAAAGCTTTACTTGGATGACAACTAAAAAGTGTCCATTGTGCTTTTCAATGAGAAGGTCATGGGTGTATTTAACATGAGCAGGGTTAATGGAATGCTGTATATAAAAGACATTTTTCGGATTGAGAAATTGAGGAGAAAAGGGGAAGAGGTGAGAATGTGGAAATAATCAAGAAATATCATCAGAATAATGAATTAATAAGATGCAGGGAATACCATTTTGATGAATATGGGATAGAGAAACATGCAGATTAGGGGAACTGGTTTTCAAAGGAGAAGACTAGGTCTGTCCCATGGGGGGTTGTTGAGCCTGAAAAGGGAATATGGCAAGGGGGATAGCAGCAGTTTGTAGTTACGTAAATTAAAGCCTCCCTCATTAATCTTGTAAATTGCTATGGAGGTACTTGCTACTGCATCATCAATTTCTCTGATCTGGCACAATTTGTCAGTGTCCAAAACTAGTGGATTCACAGAGAAAGGTGTGCATGTCTGTGTGCGTCTAATGCCATGCATTGATTTGAGTCACAGAAAGAAATAAGATTCTGTAATCCTCACTGCATTTAATGCCACCATGCTGGAACTGTAGAGTAGATTTAATAACCATTTAGTCTGGATTCTTTCCAAAGCAGCTTAGTACTGAAATAACATGTTCAAAGGCCACAGTCTGGACCCCCAGGTTTCAGCACATGGAGAAATAACCAACACTGTAGCTTGGGTAAAATTATCTGCAGCTGTAACTATAGTATTTATTTATGCCATAGTTCAAAAAGGGCATACTA